TTACGAAGTAGCGCGTCCGATGAAAGAATAAACCGATATAAACCGATATAAAGCGGAGGAGCCAGTATATTTCCCCACGGAACGACTCTAGTAACACATTGCGAGTTTTAGGACATTGGCTGCAAAAAAAGCTGCTTTGCAACTGTTGTTAAATTTGTGAATCTGATTGATATATGTTACTAGATTCAGCTAAAATTAAAGCCGGTATTCGTATTCAGATCTTATATTTAAGACCGTCTTAAGTTCACCTTCCGAAACTCCATAGCCAATGAAATGATCCGTACAGCATCTGAAGATGAACTTTAAGGCGATCTTAAATATAAGAACCGACTATGAATAGCAGTCTAAGAACATATATCGATAAGATTGATGAATTTTACAGCAGTTGCGAAGCAGCTTTTTCTGCTGCCATCATCAACACGTTGAATGTCACGGTTATCAGCGCGCGACCATTATTATGATACTGCTGTATTTCACGTTAAGTTACGTATGAGATATAATTAATTACATCTAAAATATCGGAGAACCGACGAAACAGGGTGAAAGATACACGCACCTCGAATTACATTCATTTATATCATTTGATAATTTAATTCTTCATCATTAATACAGCTTTCGTGCGACCAATGAAGATCAGCGTGGCAGTCGATGCATTAAACGATATCTGGCGAAATGTTATTAATATATTCCTTGTTCATTCAATTTCCCGAGAGCTTTTTGAATAATTTTCCATCACATCTTTCCTGATCTCTCAATTTCCTCTCACTTTTTGCATTTCCGAAAATAATGAACGTGTCGATGGAGCAGTTTACGCGGTTGTCAGTCAAAATATTTCTTTTCACGAGGATAACGCAATCTCCACGCACGCTGGAGATTTAACGCGCAATTTTGTAACCGTACATACGCATATACGTACGTATCGCGACATTCGGCAATTATCTCGGCACGTACGAGCGCATAACGTCGCCGGTTTGTTCGGTCGAATACTCGTGCGGATGACAAGCCATAAACGGTATAAGCGAGAATATCAGTGGCGCGTTAAAGCGCGTCCCGAGATGCATTTTGGCTGTCAAACGTCTAATGTATCGGGGCAGTTTTCGAGCGAGTACTCTCTCTCGTTTGACTTCATTCGCCTGTCTCTGCTATTAACGCGAAACGAGCTTATCAGTTACGGTGTATGACGTGAAAATCTCCAGTGGCGCTTCCCCGACTGTAATCCATTACACAATTTTACAGCTCCTAAATTGCTACCACTTAGAGTGTGTTCATCCGCGTACCAATCAATGTCTTAAACATCAATTTGTGTACTGGCTAACTAATCTCATTAGTCGCTCAATCTGTTTATCGATTTATCATTGCTCCCTAGTATATTATACGCGTTACAAGAGAACGCTGCAACAGTCAGCAAGTTAAACACCTGTATTTATTAAGAAAAAATCGATGTTTTTTTGCCATGATGGGTACTGGATTAAATCGCATTTATTGTCTATATAATCAGTGTTTTTCACTGAAATGCTATATTTAAAAGTGGTGATTCAGTTATAAATATAATATTGCAGTTAATAAAGTTTCGCTGAAAATTATGTTATACGCTGAAAAATCGGTTATTTAAATGAAAAAAATTGAGTATAAATAAATCACTTATTGTCAATAAAATAACAAAAATATATGAATGAATGTTTTCACGCATTGATTTCTTATTAAAAATAAAAAAAGATAAAAAAAATCGTGTCATAATTAGTAAAAAAAGTCTGTTTATTAAGTTTATAGAGTGCGAAAAAAAGCAGACTCTTTTTTCGATAGAGATTTAGTGAGAACAAATGGTCGGATTTCAATGAGTTGAGTTTCATACTTTTTGTAATAAAATCCCCTTAAAATTTTATTAACTTAGCAAAATTTAGCAAAACACTGTAGCAAAATTTAAACATGACCAATGTTTAGTAAAATTTCATAGAGATTTTATTACCAAGAATAGCTGTAACACTGAAACCCAACCACTCGTTCTCGTTAAATCTCGCCAAACATGAAAAAAGTCTGCTTTTCTACATACTGTATCCTTAATAAAAAAACCTTTTGCTGTTTGTGAGACGATTTTTTTATCCTTTACTAATAAAAAATCAATATGCAAAACAAACATTTATTATTTATATACTTTTATTATTTTGTTGACGGTAAGCGATTTATTACTCAACCTTTTTGCATGTTTCTTTAAGATCGCTGATTTTCCAACATAGAACTCGAATTAACTTTGACGTGGATGGAGCAATTTGACCGACAGTATTGTTTTTGCTGAACGAAAATCTATAATAAATACCTACTCTGATTAGAGATTATTTGAAGAAAACTTTCTTTTGTAGCGAAATGTTACTTTGACAGATTCACTTACTGATCTTTACAGACTCAGTTTATTCGTTCATGAAATATTTATATTGATTCCCACTTGAGTAACGTGCACACCCATATAATTTCACAAACACCTACAGTTCCGCAACAAATTAACATACCGCCGTTTCTCGTTTGTGCTTTCTTTAAACGGCTCACGGGGCCGACGTGTGTCTTGTCCGACAATGGGAAGCGTCAGAGCGAAAATCAGGAAGAACTATAAAGGGCGAGGACAGGCCGCGTCATCAGAGTGTACCCGGAGGACGGCTCCATCCCTCTTTTCATTGCCCCTGCAGTATGCCAGGGTTGTTTAGCCGGTATGCCACTGCCCTGCGGGGGTGGTAAATACGCGCACCGGCGCATATTTCGCGGAAACGCTTTGGCGCTTTCGTGCGTTGCCGACGAGCATATATATGTGCATTAACGAACGATACCATCGCCATGTAATATTTGCTCCGGGCTTTCTCGTTTCCCCATTATCGCCGTTAAAGCCAGACGACGCGGGGGCGCTGTCGTTCTCGATCGCTCGCAACGATTGTGATTTGCGCCGCCGCCGCCGCCGCCGCTGCCACCACCGTCGCTGATTGTTACACGCGCACGTAACTAGCGATCTGCTTATCTGTTGTTTTCCTGCTCGATAGTCCGCAAACTAATTCCGGCAAAGTGGATGGCAGTACGACGCCTCTTCTCATCGATCCATCGCCGTGACGGTTAATTTTCTCCCGGTCTATTTATCGAATCCACCTATCCCGCGCCGCCATCCCCTAACGAATTAATAGCGCGAGTACGATATAAATTTTCGAGGGACAGCCGACTGCATGGCGCTGCTACAGCGCAGGTAAATGAGAGTAGGATGCAGGTAGGACGAGCGGCGCGAAAGGGAAAGGGATGGCAGAACGGTTTCGTTCCGCTGAAATTATGTCCTTCCGCCGTGCGGAATCTTGCCACCTCGGGATCCAGGCGCGATTTAATTAAGATACGAACAATCCGGGACGAGAAGGAGGCCGCCGGCACGCCCGATGGAAATATCGGAAAATATGAGGATCGTGCCGCCGGCGTCGCCTACGTCACCGTCTGCACTTTTCCGACGGCGGTTACCGGCACCGCATAATAATAACGGACATTCTCAGGATCGCGACGAGAATACCGGGTCGATAATTAAGCGGCGACTTCGCCGGCTGTACAAGCGTCGCGAGAGGAAAAAGTCCGCGATCGCGCGATCATGCGCGAACAGAGATGAGGAGTTTCGCGGAAATCAGCCGCGATTACTGTGTTGTATATTTGTGCGAAGGAGGGGAAAGCACGGGGGAGTTTACAACCACACACTGAAATCTGCGGCCGCATTATTGACGCGTATTTCAACGTAACTAAGAGGATCTTTCTGATCCTCAAGGTAAACAACCTTGTACGGCGTGCTTGTATGAGAAAAACGGAACTTGGAATGACAAGAGCATGCTTAGTCCTCGAATTCGCGTCAAGAATATGGCTCTAACTCTAGTAATAACTATCAAACCTGGATAGTTATCAAATGCTTTGAAATATCCTAAAGAAAAAACTTGTTATTAGTTGCCAAGGCTTGGAGACTATTACCAATTTATGTGGTATGAGTACTAATGAGTATTATAATTGATTAAATTTTTGAAATAACCAATAAATCAATAACACAAATTAATGAATCATCATACGTAAAAATACAAATAATTTTATCAATAGATGAAATTAATTATTAAGCAAACTTTAATAAGATCGATCATACATTGGTATACATTGGTTGATAACTAATTTCGTCAATCAATTAAATGATTTCTTGATTACATATATGATGACTGATTAATTCTGATGATTGATTTGTCGATTATTTTAGAAAATCGGCTATTCTAGCCAACAATCAAACGCCAAAATCTAGTGACGTCATTTGTTTTTATTTTGCATCAGACTAGCCCTAGATTGACTATATCGGCTATGTATCAGTAGACAATTTGTTAACACATTTATTATCAGTATCATGCATGTATGACGCATCGATCATCGGAGTTCATCTTTGCTGAAAATTTTCAATTTTATATTACATGTTTCGCTGCTAACGTCGCCTGTGTACGACAACGACATTTTTCTCTGTATATCCGCATATAACCAAACCAAGTGTTTTTACACAATAACATGAAAACAAATGTAATGTGCTTTGTGCAGAGAAATTGTCAAATAAACGTGTTAAGTAAAACTATATTATTTAATAATACTTGTATATTATGCGATATAAATATACGAAATAACCAAATACTTTGGTAATCAAACTGTTTGATAATTATTATCAGATTATTTGGCATTATTTTTTTATCGAATCATTTAATTGGATCGACTAAAGAAGGAATTTATTTTATTAATTATTTTGTAATTATTATCAGGTTGAAAATCGTATTTGATATTAATTACCAAATATTGCATTGAAATGTTCAATTGAATGCATTTGTTAACTGTCGCAAGACTTTTCTCTCCAGTGTGTTTTCTTGGCAGACGGTGAAAGTGCACAAAGCATAGAGGAATAAGCGTGTTAACTTTACGACGCCCGAAAATATTCTCGCCTTAATACTAAACATTTTTACGGCTTGTTGTTTCAGTCGGCGCAATGTACGTGTGTATGCTGTACGCTATGCTCTTCCTCAAGTTATGGTCATACGTGCAAGTGAACATGTGGTGCCGCTTGAGTATTCGGGCGAACGCGGCGCAAAGCAGAACAAGACGTCGGTCGCTGTCTTATAATAGTCTTCATTGTAAGTACATATACATGCATGTGTACATATTTATAACATTTTGTGTGTCCTATCGACGCGATATTAAGGGGGAACGCCACAGTGGGAATGAAAAAAAGAGAGTATCTTAATTCCTAGAATTTTTTAAAGTAACAATACATTTTTTAAAAATTGTCGTTTCACACTGATTTAGTTTTATATTTCAACGAAACTTTTATGTTGTTTATTTGAAACGTATGTTTTATGACAAGTTAGGTCCTGTAAGATAAGGCCTCTATCGAAAAACATGGTTACACTGTACAGATGGTTGCTTCTGAACGGTTAACTTGAAGTCAGTGAAGTAAAAATTCTTAGAAACTACATGAAAGAGACTTCGTTTGTACGTAGGGGTTTCAAAAAAAGTTTTGTTTTCACGAAATGACAGATTTTATAAGGAAAGATTAAATTCTCGACGAAAGTCGATCAGTTTCTTGCGTGTTTCTCAGTGAGTTTTTGAGGTAAAGAAGAATCCGTATGTACTAACAAAAAGAATTTCACCACGAAGAATTTCTCGCAGAGTAGAAGTCAATCGGATCAATAACTTTTTTTTCCAAATATCGCCCGGGTCAGATCTTTGAAAAGATAGTCTCGAGAGATACGCGTTTAGAGTCACCCCCAGAGTGCCCTGCTGTGTGTCTCGATAGCGTTTCGTAAATTCTGTTTCGTCAATTTCCAACCAGTCTTTAAACAGTTTTCCAAAACTATATAACCTTTCAGGAAACGCGATAAGAAAGAAATCGATTTTTTGGTATTTCTACCATGGTGTGCTCCCTTAACTCGTCTTATACGCGCGCATTGCTCATATATTTGCGACATAATAAGTAGTGTAATATTTTTAATATGTCGGCACATGTGCGAGACTACATAACGTACGCAATCTTACTTTCATCAAAGGGACCTAAAAAAAGTTATGAAAGCAAAGCACACAAAAAGCACGAAAAAAAAGCTCCTTTTCACCCCCTCCCCCCTCCTCCTCCTCCTCCTCCCGGGTACCCTCGTGGCACTCTATGATTTATCTCACCTGCATTATCCGCACGCGAGCCGCGCGGCGAATCTATTATAAGACTAATGGCCGCTCACGAAAACTTCCGATTCGCAGGAATGACCTTTTACGAATAGCTAGCCGCCGGTTGCATCCCTTTTTCCTCTCTCTTTTTACGACAGTACGCGGTAATGTGTTTCATCCGTACCGTCAGAGTTAACGGATCTCCCGCGGTCGGTCGGTCGGTCGGGCGGAAGCCGGCCGGCGTAAATCTTCGTCGTTACGGGCGTCGACGTGCATATTCCCTCGCAGATAATGCACACGTCCAAGTAGCGCAAACACGTCCTACGAATCGGTAATCCACTGCATTCGCGGTATTTGCTCGCTCCTGAAGGCGCGCGTGCACAGCGTCGCGGTGCACCGCGTGTGTGCGGTCCGTTTATGTGCGCGAGTATGTATGCGAGTGCGCGAGCGTCACGTGTCTGCATATATGCACGCACAGCGTGCGGGGAAGGGAAATGATTTCCACCCAATTTAAACTGACGATCGGGTGCGCCTGTGTTTCCGGTGTCGGACGCATCGCGGTATATCGATTATTCCGACCTGACCGGTAAAGTCAAATTATACGAACGGCCTTTCCCCGATAAACTCACCGCCGCAGCGAGTATTAACCCTTCTGCTGAGCCACCCTCGTGGCGACACTAAAGCGCCGAGCCGGTGCGTTTGCACTTTTAATCGTGATTGCGCAAACGATCGATCTACATGACCGACGCGACGGGCTTGATTGGCGTGTACGTCGAATGGATTTGGATCAGGCCGACGCGCGATGATTCATACGATGACGTGCGAAATCCGTTTTGCGCGGACTGCGCAGTCGAAAAAAGGAAATTAAGGTAAAATGTTATCAGATCGTCGACGAGTAGGTGTTCTCTCGAGCACAATCCTCACTGAAATGCTATACTTGCAACTGATGGTGAAGTTGTAAGTACAGCACTGCAATCAGCAAAATTTCGCTGAATCAGTTGTAGAAGGGATAGTAGCGACTGTTCCTTGAAAATCAGAGAAATATAAGACGGAGAAGTAAAGCGCCTCCGCTGAAAATCAGTGAATATTCACTGATAGTCGATGGAATACTCCTGTTACTGATTCAGTTAAAAGCTTCTAATTGACTATTTCTTATCGAAAGAAAAAAGGTTCCTTTTACTGGTTCAAGCCAGAGTGATGGATCGCTAGAAATTGAACTCCTTTCCTGCACAATTTGCGGATTCGCTTCTCTAAAAGGCTGGCACATTTAAATTTCACGAAATTCGAAAGCAAAATCACGAAAAATCCTCGTTAGAGGCGTTTTCGGGAGCTCTTTGTAGAAGTACGTTGCGAATTCCGTTGATCACAAAAATACGAACGCGATAAGCAAAATGTTCACGCTTCATCGAAGCGAGAATTTCCTCGTGGACGCGCAATTTCCAACTTTCCTCTAAATTTGCCGTCCGCCAGCATCGAGGATTTTCGTGGCGTTTCTCGCGCCGAAAATTAAGATAGATATTTCCCGACATGGACACCGGCGTATTAGCGTTCGACTTTGCGTTTTGTTCGCAGCCAATTAGGCCGTTATATGTCCAACCGATCCGCGTCCATCGTCCTCGCCCGAGAGCGTCCTAATTACGGCGCAAAAAGTGACGTGGCGCGATATAATTATCGAGTGGCCGGGCGCGACGCCTCGACGTTCACCGTCTCATCGCGAGTCGACGCCGGGCCGGCCGACCGATCGATCGATAGACAAATGCAATCGACAAAAGCCCACCTCGGGACTCCATTATTACCACCACGAGCTCGTGTAATCTAGCGCGCGCACGGACGCCGTGTAATTTTCGCCCTCTCTACCTCAGGCTCAGGCTCCTGTGGCACGTCGTATTATTACGTCCCGCGTAATGACGACCTGGAGCCAGCCACGGGACCTGTAACGTAGCCGCGTATACGCATCGCGAGGTGGGGCGCCCTTTTCCTTCGTCACGGCTCGATCGATCATGCGAAAAATCAGCACTCCCGGCCGCACGTAGACAGCTGGAAATGAGAACAGCCATCTCTCGTTATTAACATTCACGCGAGCGTCTTATTCTTTGTTCCCGAATAATTCAATCGTCAGGCGGCGGGGGAGGCCCTCCTTCGTTAGAAAATCAGGATATGATCGTGCCAATTTGGAAACTTGAAATGAATGGGAAGATGAACAAGGTAAATTGGCGCGTCAAGTATGATGATCAGATGTAAGAGCGAGTGCCGGGATCTCTCGCAGCCGGGAGAATTAAGTAGTTCCAGAGTGAGCTGGAATAAATGGCAGGGAATCAACGAGCGAGTACTTAATTTAAGACGAGAGTGGATGTTGAAGTTTCCTTAGGCCCGTGTCGCGACAAAGACGCGGGGGCAATTTACGAGTCTGCGAGATTGCACGGCCGAAGATCGCGGGCAATCGTATCGATTGGCGAAAGCTTCGTCTACGGTGGCGCCGGCGCTTAATTTGTGAGACTTCTCGCTCGAGCTTCGTCCCCGTAAGGGTGCTGTCATCCCCGCCCTCCCTCCTCCTCCCCCTCGCCTTCACCCGGCCAGCGCCACCTCCCTCAGCGTCCCTGCCCCTCAATATCGATCCCTTTTTTCGCCGTTGCCCATCCGCCGCGCCAGTTTCGAGATATATGAACAGGGGTGGTCTTAAGCGCGAGACATCCCTTGGCACAAAGGCGAAATTACGTCGGCCCTCGAGACGCCCTCGGGCTGAGATTGAAAAAAATAGAAATTACACCCGTCGCGAACGGAAGCCCGCTCGATCCCGCCGCGTTCCCACGAGATTCTGCCCCCGACTACGACTACGAACCCCGATCTTCCCCGATCTTGTGCGACCTCCCTCGGACGTGATATGAGCCGCTAAGGAGATCCCGTAAGCGCAGGTAGGCGGATTTCACGTAGGAGAGCGCGTGGTTGACCGTCGGTGACGCCATAAATTCCCGAACGCAATTCGCCGAACGCAACTTCCCATCGTTACTGTCACTTTGATAAAGGGGAAAGGGATAAGAAAGAAGAAGAAGAATCGAAATGTTCGCCGAGGGATCTGAGTTCACGCTTTTGTTACTCGTTAATTTTTGTATTCTTGTTCGCGATGCGAGACATGTCGAGTACTGTGCAGTGCATAGGAGATAATTGACACCCTCTCAGCCCTCAAAAAAAGAGATTTCCAGTTACAAGATGCTATTTCCTGTAATCCCATATTCTAAGCGAAGACGCTTACCGAAAGAGTATTCTTTTTCTAATGAAACAAACTAATTGGAAATTTACGAGATATTCCAACTTTTTCTTTTCCTTTTGAATCAAGAGGAATATGTTTATTTATATATTCTCTTGCTGGAAGGAATTTTTATTAGGGGAACACCTGGAGTATTATCGATAAAAAGATAAAAAGATAAAATCCTTCTAACTTTAAAAATTTTACTATTAGAATATTTTCCTTTTGATTCTAGAAAAGTCCTCTTGAGACCATATAGAAGGTTGTCCCAGGACAACCTTCGAAGCTCTCGTGGAAACATAGCACGGATTGAGGTGACATAGTATTGTCTCTAAACGTTTAAGAACTATTATCGAGTCATCAATCTATATCGTTTTATCATTTTATTTGTAAGATATACGTTCTATTAAATTTATAATCATTTTATTCACTGTCTCATTAATACACTCACGATATCATAGTTATTTTATGTTGCAACTGAGTTCTCTTCCGTAGAAGCAAGTGGTATCATGCCCTGCCAAGAATGTCAACGAACTTAGGGACAAAGCCTACCTCGTCACAAAGGTCTCCCCGAAATTGGCACTGCTTGCACTTCACCCTAACCAAATGAACTACGTGGCGCGAAAACTGATTAGCAAATCGATAGCGTCTTGATCCAAAAATTTAGTAGCACGACATAAAACTATTAGACTTCAAATAATTTCATGTTTAAATGAATTAATGCAGTCGTGG